GTGAGCAACAAAGATCAAAAACCAACGCTGATTTTCACTTCTGGCAGCACTGGTGAGTGACGCAACAGAGATCACTGTATCATACATTCTTAACTAGGTAGAAAGAAGCAGCTATCACTCGAAAGTCGTTTTCTCAACAACTTGTTTCTCAGCCTCCTGGGGATAAAACTACCTGTGGAATACTACAGATCCATGCCAAGTCACTTATACCTAAGATTTCGGTACATTCGCCCTAGTTTTAAAAAATATACCAACATGTAAGCTGCTACTGTTCTTGGGAGCCACGTCCTGCACTGCCGAAAGTGTTATGAGGCTTAGCAGATGATCAAATGAAGAAGTTTGTAAGCCTACATAAACTCTTTTTAAAAGTAAATTACAGCTTCATGTAATACATTTTGTACCTAAAATGGATCATCATTGTGTGAGAGGTGAGACCTTAAAGTGCTCGTAAAACATTATCCCTTGAACTTTGACAAATCGTTTGATAACATGTGACATTCTATCATGTTGACCGGATACGAGCAAATAGATTTCAGAGGCCTGTACGTTTTTGGCCAAAGAACTACATACAAGACTGATGGTTCTGCACGAAAGTAAAGTGAATAAATTGAAAATGTAGAGCTTCTATATCTAAGGTTTCATAAAGTACCATACTAAGGCTTTTGTTTCTTCGAATGTTCACCAGTGGCTTCTCAAGTAAACCTTAGTTCTTATTTCTATAGGAGTTAAACTAATAAGAGCAGTCAGGTATAAGGCTGATTAATATCAGCTCCAAAAGACATTGCAGTACTTTTTAGTAGGTGTCGAGTCGAGGACGGACTATGATCACTACTACTACACGATTACGTGCCCAGAAACGACTTGGTTCCTTTAATAACTCGTAAATCAGAAGGCTTTAATCAGTTCAGATCAAGTGTATTTATTGGCGATCTCGTGGTATCGATAGAATACCGAGACGTGTCAACGGGTACAGGCAAAATGGGCACAGCGTAAGAAAGTTCTAACCGAACAAGTTGTATAGCGGAACAAGAAGTGAGTCTGATGCAGTTAAACAAGCACAGTAAAACAATCACAGGTAAAATTGGTCACAATACTGACAATTGTTTCTTTTATTCCAATCGTGTTCTTATCGAGACCAGCCGGTCACTACAACTTAAAGAACAAACAAAAAGTGTGGTTTGACACTCAGTGATCTTAATGTCAGGCGAAGCTTTTCCAAGCAGTAAAGAAGTAACAGGCTGATCCCCTACTCCGTGATATCGGCCTCGACGGAAAGAGACATACGTCCGTTGCTAACTGGAAGCCTGAACGCTAATGAAAACCAGCAGCAGGATGTAGTCGAAATCTACGCTACCCCTCACTTTATCTGGTAGCAATCAGGAATTTTAACTCCGGGATTCGTTCATAAAATATTCAAGACCTACGTCCGAAAACACCTCAAAACTCATGACATTTCTCACCGTTTCTCCACAAAAGGGATATGAATATGAAATAAAGTATTTCAGAAGCCGGTTTTTTCAATGAATCATTTTGGAGTTAAAACAGATCACAAAGATGATGAATTTTAATATCTTTCTTATAATAGCATAGAAATATACACAAAGATGTAGGAGAGATAATATTAGAATAGTTATAAGTACAAAATAAATTTAATATAAATGAACAATCCCTTCTCCAACAGATATTGGGATCTGGTAAAACTCGATTGTCATGATTAGAAAAGTGTTCTTATCTGCCAATGGACTATACGAGAACAAATTGGTTCAGTTTGTCTCAAAAGTGGAGAATCAATGGTTATTAACAGCGAATGTTCCTGAAGAACTGGGGATACAGTCATTTTAGTGATATAGTACAGACACTATCAGTAAACACAACAACAGCAACCGAGTTACAGTAATTTGGTATGAAAACCGCAAAAACGTAAATAAATGCAGAAGCCAGTAAAAGAAGAGTTCAATAGATAGATAGTCAAAAATTTGTTCCCGTATGAAGTGAATGTATGGGTGATATTCACACACTTATAAGCATGTAGTGCCGCGATTCGTTAATCGTTTACTTCAATAACCGTTATGATTCTAATCTTAACGGTGCGTAAAATCAGAAGACAAAGGATAGCAGCAACTACAGTTTATTGTCGAATAACTCAGGTCAGAAAGTTAACAACACCTGAGCGAATATCAACGAGCGAGTGAGCGACGAGCGAGTGAACAGGCGAACAAGCGAAGGAAGCGAACGAGGAGCAAGCGAGCAAATAGCAAGCAATTACATGGGCAATTTATAGTCAGATTTGATAAGGGCACAGCAAAGCAAAACAAAGGCTGATAATAATATTTGTGTGCGTACACATATGGGGAGGAGTATGAGTCATCGAATGACATTTAAGCAGCCAACATTTCGTATAGAGTGTCATGTGCTCTAGTGGTATAGCAGTGCAAAGAATATGCAAATTGTTACTATCCAAATAACGATGTCTGTCAAGTAAGTTATAAAAAGAGCTTAACCGAAATTGACTATAATCGAAATTGATTGTAGGATGGTTGCTATAAGTACACAAGTGAAATAAACTCTTACAATGAATCTCTTAGAGTACGTAAAGAGGCGTGCGGTATAGTGGGGCATAGGAATAATGGTCAAAATCTGTGACAACGAAGTTCGCAACTTGAGACTGTACTCGGTAGACCACGGGAGAATAGAATGAGACCTGATGATGGTAAGGGACATAACAATTACTTCAGGTTATCCCAATAAAGACGTCAATACTGCGCTTCACCAGGGAAGCTATAGCGAAGTACACATCAGAGCGCACACAATTTTGTCATCACAGTTTCACCTTACTTGTGATGCGTTCCCAAGCTGGTCTGACTACAACCCCCTCAGTGACGAGCTTAAAGAGAAAGGTCAGCAAACACATATTCACTCAAGACTTATAGATATTTATATGGAACAGCTGTTCCTGATGTGTGCTTCCAATTCTGTCACTATCACCTTAACTATTAACATTATTTCTTTGATTAAGATCACGAATCGATTATGTTAGACCACCATTAAAACCCTGGAGGCACTGAACAGCCATCTCTTCTTAGTATGGGACTCCTCAGCAGTGCGCATCCACGACCCTGAAAGCGAGATTCGAACCTTCGGTCTCGCTATTATTCGTGGATGCGCATTGCCGAGGTTTTCCAATATTAGGGAGAAGCGGCCGTCCAGTGCCTACAGGATTTCAATGCTGGTCTGATATCAATCAGCTCTTGATCTCAATCAAGAAAACCTAAATTCCACCCTAAACCCATACTGATATTAACATCATTTTTATAACCATTATCATTAGCCTAATTTTACTTAGTTCGCCCCTTGTCGCCTCCGTTTAAAAATTGTTTTTAGGCTTCTGTTAATTTTTGTTGCTCCCGTAATTAACTCATTGGCCCCTTTGACAAACGTTTTCTCTTAGCTCTTCTGCATTCTCATTTTGTGATTTTTATAATGCACCAAACTAGTCTGCTGGCCGATAAATTGATAGTTACTAGTTTTAGAAACACTAATGTCTTGAGACAAATAGATTTACTTGAACTTTTGTCATACGAAGTCATAAATAACTATTGAATCCACCAGGACTTGCTTATTTGAGTGCCTAGACTACTCCTAAGGAGGTTGTAAAATACCCTGAGCTGTACAGCAATGTCATGAAACAAGGGCTAAGAAATCATTCGGTTTACAATGGCCGGTCTCAAAGATGTTTAGTGCTGTATTGGAAATAAAAAGTTTTCAGTCCTTCATAACCACAAAGAACCTAATTTCTGTCCGAATATTCAAATTCAGAGTTGATGAATTCATTCAACACAGAAAACGCGAATGTCTTTATACAAAAGGACCAACGTCTAAGTCTCGTGAAGACAAACCCGGGATCGTGGATGCGCACTGCTGAGGAGTCCCACAGTGGGACTAAACGGCCGTCCAGTGCTTTCAGGCTTTCCATGGTGGTCCACCTTTAATTGACTAATGGTTTCAACTATTAAATTACTAAAATCTCCACAAAACCCCTTTCTGATAATATGAATAAACAACCAATTAATAGGTTTCATTTTTTATCCAGTAAATTATCACTGATGCGAGTAACAGTAAATATATGTGGACAAAAGTATGGTTTTGTATCCATTTAGCTTAGGCCATTTGTGATGTTTGACATTGTTATTTTGACCTGTGAAAACTTACTTTTCAAATAGTGGTTAAAGCTGTTTGAACATAAAATGTGTTTTTTTTCTTATATAGATAAATAGGTCATATTTGAGAGAGCCAAGTATATTTATCATAATTTGAATAAGCAGTATACAATATATCTGATTGATATTCAGCTGCTGAGGTTTCATAGATTCGTAAGACCGATTCAGATACTAGAAAACTAAGTCTTTGTAACCTATTACTAAAATCAAGTCAAAGTGAAATTAATAAAATACAAAGGTAAACAGTACAAGGGAATGAATCATATAAACGTCAAAACCGAATGTTTAGAATTTTCAGATGAATAAGGTTTATCCATTTCTTAAAATAAATCGTCAGTAATATCAGCAGTAATTTCTTGTTTGACAAATCATTTAGGACTAATAACAGTCAATATTGTGCTTAGCGTAAATGGCAGAAATCTTTATTATTTAAGTGATATTATTACAAGGAATCAATCGAACTGTAAGAAATGATTTCCGGTCAAGCAATATCAGAACTTCAGCGAAAATTACGTCAGCATTAAGTGAAATCGAGCAGAATATGTTCATGTTAAAAAAAAGTGAACAGACAGTTATGAATAATATTAAAGAAATATAGGCAGTGATTAGGTTTATCTGTAGTATCAATGTAACCTTTGTTTAAATATATCTCATGAATCTGATTTTCACGTGCTAATGATATTTTGATAATGTTAACTGTTTTTCTTCCCAAATCACAGTATTGCATTCCATTGAACTGGTAAATGAAAAAGAATGTATGTTTTTTGTGAATTAAAAATAATTTTATTGTGGCGCATTTGACAAACGATGAATAAGTTCATTTGCAAAAGGAAGAAATTCGTTAGACCATGTGGATTCCCACAGTAATAAGCAATCAGATTCGGCTACCAAACTATTTGATAATAATGATTTATGTATTTGTGCAATAACTTCATCATCTACAAACAGATATAAAGTATACATGAATGACGAACAACTAATATATTATGTCCAATGTGGAGAAAATATTTCAATTAAGCTTAATGAATAGAATGATCCAAAAAACAATTGCCTGACTACGCCGTGTATCTTTATTTTTCAGGGTTTAAAAACCATCTTCACCATCATATTTAGCTGAGGTCAGATATGTCAACTTTTTAATAAACTTATGAGGAAAACTTTCATCATCACAATGTTTCAATCCTCGGTCTAAGAAACAATCTTGAATAAATAAATCTAGTTAAATTATATTTCCGTTAGAAACGTTGTGGATTACAAGTGGGAATACACATTCATAACCGATGTAAAACTGTTAAAAGAAAAGGCTAGCTTATAGGAGAAAAATTTTATGGAGTCAATAAATCGTATAAACTATTAAACTCCGAGATTTTATAGTCGTTGAGAAGTCTGAAAGACCTGAGTGCATGTGCACTTCTGGAAAGCCCAAAACCAAGATTCAAGAGTTATTCTGTGCTTCATAATTTTAAGTCGTTCTTCAACTGATGTCATATTTCGAGAAAAACTAATTCCAAATAGAATGAATCATTAATTATACAATTTCAAATCATTTAAAGGAATATGTTGCTAGGGTTGTTATAATTTACAACAAACTATTATTTCTAACAGATTCATAACTGTCAATAAAGTCAATTATGGTAGGTTTTAATGATAGGTCTAATAAATTAAAACAAGATTATCATACTACTTAATCAATGAATTCAATATTGGTCATATTAAGGTTAATAATTAAAATTAAGGGGCATGATTGGTTACGAAAACAAATGAAAGGATGAAGTCATCAATGTAATGAATTAGTAATGTATTCTCACAAGAAATAAAGAGTTTCTTTGTAATAAAAAATTACTCAAGATATCAGCAAATGAAAAACATTAAAAACCTTTTTCACTTTGTTTCGTGACAAGATTAAATCTTAAATGTTTACAATTCACTGGTCGCAGGTCATCTCTGAACGTTTTTAGAAACGAGCTTCTATTCAAGAACAAGATTAATGTAATTGTAAGTGGTATTATGGGGACTGTGATCCAAGCAAATTATAGTCAATGTTCTAAGTTAAGTCATGAAGATTATCGCGTTGCAAAAGTTGTTGCATAATAATTAAGTGCAAGAGCTTGTATTCAGATAAGAAGTATAATAGTTGTTTGAGGTCTATTGATACCACACCGTCATTCAAACGGATGTAGGTGGAATGAATTTTAAACATAAAATCGATGACCGTTGATAGCAACAACAGAATAGTTTGATAAATGGAAAATACAAGTGAGGGAAATATTTATAAAATTCCCTTAGCTTCAAAACAATTTGTTGTAAACTGGCAAAGCAGATTTCAGTAACAATGGGAACCAATTTCACTAAGTGTTTTCAAGTAAATGAAAATAACTGTTATGTAATGTAGGAGATAAATGTAAAAAATGGTCATTGACGATATGCATACTCACCAGTAAATTTGGTTAGTAGACTTAGCAACTCATTCATCAATTCTTGATCAAACATTTTCCCCTGTGAATTATCAACCACTTCTGTGTAATTCCATAATGTTTTACACGTTAATCCAGCTAACTCCCAGTCATGTCCAGCAAAATCACGAAGAATTTCTACAAGTCTGATAAGTTAGATGTAAATAAAAGATTATTTTTTAAATATTAAGATATCATTATAACCAATAAAATGAGAGATTCTTAGTTTACAAAATATTAGTAATACAAAAGCATTTGTTCGATTAAATAAAACTAGAGGTTCAATGAGCATTGCTGAGGAGTCCTTTACTTGGATGAAACGGCCATCCAGTGCTTCCCTGTTTTCGATGGTGTTCTAATGTAGATTTATTCAGGATTTCAATAAAACTCGGATAATAACATTTAAGATAAAAGAAGTTGACTAAAAGCTTGTTTTAATTCTTTGAAAGATAAAGATTTTTTGAATAACTTGTCTGTAACATTTGTTCACAACCGCGCTTCAATTGGTAAGCTCACTGAAGTTTTCAACTGAATAAATGAATAACCCATTTTTCAGGAGTTGGGAAGAAAGTACTAAATGGAATTACTTTTTCTGATAGTTATTTCTTAACAATTTTAATGTACAAAAGCCAAGGATAAATGTTATGATTAAAACAAAAGATATTCATTCGGTACAATTATTCTTATTCAATTTAAGCATAATGTAATCAGGAATTTGGTTTTACTCATTATTGTGAACTGTAATGATACTATTCAACTGATTAGTCAGAAGGAAAAAAAGAATTGTTTGAACTTTGAATCTAGCAGAGAAATGTTGAACTATAGTTAATATCCCTTATTTATATGATCAGCGTTTACCAGTAGATGAATAAATATTTCTGTGTTATCAGTAGAAATCATCAGAACTAAAGATAATATGAACCGAATGTATAAGTTAATACAATTACAAATTAAATATATTAATTAGATATCGGAAAAAACATAATAAATAACATGTAAATCATACTTAACAACAGATGTAAAATCCTTAGAAAAACGGGCCATTTAGTGTCTGAACAAAAGGTTATTACTGTTGAATATTTACTGTTTAAACTGTTTCAAAACAAAATAACTAGAAAAGGTAAGTGAAATTAAATATTCAACATGAACAACGGGAAAACAGCAAGTTGCGTTAGTAACTTTACAATCACAGTGGAATTCGGCATGACAAACAGCTGTGATTGAAGCAAAAATGATAAGAATAGGATTTGTATGGTGATCATTATAGAAAATAATATAAACGAGGAACAGAATGATGGCTAGAAATGTAACGCTTCAAATGAAAACAGTAACTCACTTTGATAGGCCTCCCATTATTTTTAACATTGGTCGTTGGTCTAAATCTGTCATCAAGTTAATCAACACACCTAATGTACTATAAACAATATCTGGTCGTGGAGAATCCAACGCTTGTATGACTAAATATAGGAAAGCGTTCTGTTGAATTAAATTATTCAATCCTGTAGTATTATTATTAATACTACTGATTGGATTGATGCTATTAGAAGCTGAAAAATATTTGACTTGTAATAATCGACTGCTATTATTAGCTAACCATTGCCTTATTGCTGTATGCCGTGTAAGATTGCCGAATACACGTATTATTCCAAGAAATTCATCCTGAAGACCACTAGTCTTCGTTATTACACGTAATAAACCTGGCAATGTAAAGAAGTGAAGTGAACGTCTATTAAAATATGTTGAAATCATAAGAATCGTTGAGAAATTCTAGCGAAACGACTAACAAATGTAGTAGGAACTATAATGAACTAGAATTTCTTTATTCGAGGGTAATCCTGAATAATTTGGTTTCTCCACTGACAGATTTGATCAGTGTGAACTAAATTCGTGGTCTTGTTTTTCCACAAGCTCTATTATGCAAATATCATACATTTCGGTCAGAATTAATAGTATTCACTAAGTTTCCTTTCAATCCTCCGGAAAAGTAACGATTACCAAAAATCTATTCTTCTCTACATAAATATATTTCAACTGAGAAGGATCACTTTTATTGGTATGATTTCAATAACTTACTTTCTGCTATTTCACATTGTTTTATAACAGATTGATCAGCTAGTTCTTGCTTTATGTAGTAAGTTAAGTTGTTTAAGCATGCAAAACAGTTTAGCAGTAATTCATTTGGTTCTTCAATAGATTGATTATCTGTTGCATCCATTAAAAAAACACAGATTAAAGCATTAGTTGTATAGTAGACACTAGCATAAAGTATTACGAAGTTAATGGTTGAGGGTTACAGCGCAATATGAGGCAGTAATAAGTTGAGTCTGAAACCTTGATGTGGTACTAAGTTATGTACTTTAAAGCAAAGCGTTGATAAGCCCGAAGTACATGAAATCATATAGGAACTCAAATTGTGCAAAAATAAATAATCAGCACGTAAGTTTTAATTCACAATATTATCGCATCCATTAACTAGTGAAGCATTTTATTTGCAAATTCAGTTGATAGATTAATTGTAGCTTTAAAAAGGATCTAAATATCTTCTGAGCTATTGACATTAGTAGTTTTATTTCTTGTTAACACCCGAAATTGTAGTTTTGTGCACATTTCACATCATGTGCTTGTGTATTTCAGTTTTGATAACGATTTAAGTTTGTCAAGGCACAAATGTCTGTTAGCGTTACTTGGCGTATATTTACAAAGTTGGCTACTAATAGTATTTTTTACCTTTTTGAGGTGGTATAAACTTTTTAATGAAACTTTTTATTATTCCTCTCTCAGGATTAGATCATAAGTCGTGTTAGTTGTACCATTCTAGTGCATTAACGTTCGGATATTTGTATGCTGTAGAGTAACCTCAATGTTAGTTATCCCATTTGGATGTGTGTCGGTTATCACACGCACTATCGAAACAATATAAAATACAACGTACCAATCTCTGAACCATACTGATAAAAGATCTACAATTCTTGGTTTTAAAATGCGCTATGAATGCTTAAGAGTTGTACACAAAGGTCGTTCTGTTTAGCGTTTATTTTACAACGGATTAACGAAGCACTATCTCCTTCCTAACTGGAAAAATTAATTCCATTATATAACTACTTGACTAAGTAAGAAAGCTAATGGTAGATTTTTGCTAATAATAGGCAAAACGTTTCCCTACAAATACATATATACGAACTTGAAAAATATTATAAGAGCAGAGATCAGTTAAAACAGCAAGAAATAAGTCAGGTATTTTGATATTGATCTATTTGTAATTAACATTTTGTACTCCTTTTCATGATGACAATTAGATTTACTTAGTTGTTTTAATTACTGAGTCGTTTAGCTTTATCTATGCAAAATCACACATTTCGAATGAGAATATCAATCATTTATGCAGTTTAATGGCGTTATTATTGGAGAATGTAAATAAGTTATTAAGTTAAAAGTTCACAGTAGGACAAAAACCGCTTTACTTTATGAATTTCAAAGTGGCAAATACTATAATTTATTAATAAATAATTTGACAACACTGATATTGTTAGGAAACAAATTTACAGAAGCATTTCTTCGATGTGTTAGGATTGTCATCACGTGAATAGTTTTCATTTTGTTACTTACGATGATGGCTTTTGACGATGTTTTCACGTCATTTTTAATTGTAGTATGTTATTAAAATTAGCTAAAGAGAATATCTTACAGAAGCCGGTAGTGTAGTTCACATAAAATCTGATTATTTGGTAGATCGGCTTGAAAGATCTTAGTCAGCGTTTTTTTATTTATTTGAAAGCAGTATCTGACAAAAAATCATCCTAAAAATCGTTAGAAATAATCCTTTCTAATTTCGTTTGAATGTCGATCCATTGGATGATGATAAACATGGATTATAGATACTGCCTACTTTTTTGAAGCCTCGAGATGTAGATAACACAATACAACTACTAAATTTAGCTGGCAGCTTAACTGCTTTTAAGTACAATCTGTAACTGTCTGACCGTAGAACTAATTTATGTGTGGTATTAATACTAATAACAGTGACAAATAGTTCTTGATTAAAAGTATAAAACTCCAAATCCAATCATCAGCTTATACAAAAGCAACAGTAAAACTTACCAATAATTCCTAAGATTAAATTTATGCAATCAAAGTTTGCTGTGCATATCAATCCAACTGTATTACTAATGCTAACATTTGCTATAACCCGCAGTAATTTCACCAGTATATCATATTGTAATGAATATGTTGATTTGACAGATTTATTTAGTTTATCTGTTAAAGCATTATTTAGGAAATCTAAATATAAGGATTATAAAAGAAAAAAATATAGGATGAAAAGAATTACAAGGGAATAAAAACATAAACACTATAGTATAATAAGCACTATCTGTTGGGATGACCCTGCAATTTTCTTGCAATCGACATGACAAGCTCATGGGTCATCGAGGAGCATTCCAACCAATCAGCGATTGATTAGAAGTTATATGAAGTTATGTTACTAAAATAATAACGTGGAGATCCTGATTGGCTGATTAATACACTGCTACTCTGTTTAGCAGTATTCTAGAACTTTCAGTAAAAACTCAAGGACTCTTAAATTACTATAAAATCCCTATATTTTCTGTACATAAATGAACCCTGTAGTAAAGTGCTTCCCATACACTTTGTGCCTTTTCTCTGGTCTTCAAGTCGCGGAGTGGTTCTAGCTCGGGGGTACGGAACTAGCTTAGGGAAGCAAATATAGCGTTCACAATCGGCCAGACGTAACACTATCTATATGACTGATTTTTGACTTCAAGATAAACCTCAATAAACATGTTTAACTGAATGCTTCCAGCTTCATTGACTTGTGGGAAAGGTTAGCATGCACTCGTGTGCTCTAATTTAGTGATGACTTGGTAATCAAAATAATTTACTTTTCACAACTATACAATAAGACTGACTACAATTCTCTCTGCTTCGCTTTGGGCCCATGTAAATGAACCTATAATTAACTATTGGGTTTTATTTATGTTATTGGATAGTTTTACTATTATAAATAATAATGATAATAATAAAGCTCTATTACTTCCGAAGACAAATAATAAAACCTGACTTTGTAAACTAAAACCATTGAGCAAACAAACTTTGAAATGGATGTAGTGGGCGAAAACTGATTGACATCTAATATACATCTTGTAACCAAGACTGTTGAGATTTAGATCTAAAAATAAATAGCTATGAAATTGTCACAAAATTACATCCTATCTTGTGCCATTATAGTAATTCAACTGAGAACAACTACAATAACTTAAATGTTAATTTTCCATAATAACAAGGATATCATAACGAATTTATTTATTCATTTAAGTCGTTTAAAAATATTTTTACTGACATTGTGTTCCATTTATTTTAGGACTAGATATAAGTTATTGAAGTAATAAAGAATGAGGGTATTCATAATATGAATACTTGATTTAATTATAGATTAATATTTGCTCTCTCTTATTTATTCATTGTATGAATATACTTACTAGCCAGTGATGAAACTATTTGATTCATAACGTTCATAAATTTTAACGTGTTTAACCTTAAAAAGTGTAGCAATAAATACTAAATATAGCAAAAGTAAATCAACGAGTATAATAATACACTATAAACTCGTAGTAATTCAAATTATTTGGAGGCTAATAGGTTCGTTTAAACGAAATTAGTTACTGAACGAATTAATTAAGTTTATTGTGAGCATATTTGGGGTGGATAAAAGTTGTACAATATTTCTCTAGAGTGATCTGATAGCCATATTGATAAACTATATTTGTTCTTTTGTCTATTCTCTAGCAGAAAGTATCACAAATACATTAAAATTCATGTAAATGCAGAGTAATAAAAATATTCTACAATGTTTTATCTACTGTAACATTATGTAATGAAAGTAGTAAGATGGACAGAATTGGGGCGAAACCTTTGTAGCCGAAGATGAACAACTGTTAGTATAACTTTTTTTAAACATATAACATGATTAAAGTCTATGTAATATTTTTAACACACCGGTATTATTAAATTCAGTACGATTTTTTTCGACTATATTCAATTTATTCAAATTAGTTTTGTCTGTATAATGATCAGATTGATGAATAAGCTTTTGTATTTCATTATATCGATGGCATAAATTGCATAGTTTCAGCAAAGAATTTTGATTAGGTACTATTGCTATACGTGCACGTTCACATTTAGCTGCCAGATTGCCAAGTACATAGGCTGTCCTAACAACAAGTTCCTAAACGAAATATAAAAAATAAAATTTACATTGAAAAATTATCACTCTTATAAAATTACCTAATAACTGTCAAATGGAATAGATTCTTGAAGTTCATTTAGAAAGACTGATAACAATTCAGTGACCGGTGTTGCATTTATCTAGTCCTTAGTACTGATAGGATTCTACTAATCAAGTAGCAGTTTGCCATCATTCAAAGTGCCTCGTTTTAATGTTAAGTGGTTGGAAGTAGTCAGCAGAAAACCCTGAACCTAGGTTTAGTGCTAGAGGGTATTCGTCATCAATAGGATCCGAACAACATTAGGACAAGTTTGGCTTTGCTTGTTGCCCAATGATCGATCAGTCTAAACATACCAGTCCTAGATGGGATCAATCACTGTCAGAATAACTTAGTGGTACTGTCTTAGACTGTGAAGCTGGGTTAATTGGGTTCAATTCCCACAGAACCTATCAATTTCCTTGAGATTCCAAGTAAGCCTTGTTGACGAGTCCTGACTGGCACGAATCCTAAGTCCAGGGTTTTCTGTCGACTACCTTCAACCATCTAACGTCAAGATAACTAGTGCAAATAAAAAATTACACATCCAATAAAATCAAGAAGAATTAGACACAATACTTAAATATTTATTCTGCGATTTATTAGATCTTTTTGTGGAGTTTAATTTTCGATAATATATGGTGGAAACAATATTCCTTTATTTAAATAGGCTCAGGCAGTTCTACAAATGCAGAACTATTGGGAAGTAAGAAGCAAAGAGAAGTTGTCTCGTATAAATCAGGAGTGTGAGCATGCAACTCCAATTAGGATCAAACTCAAGACTTCAAAGTCTTATTACAATTAAACCTTTATAACATTCTTGCTCAGTGAACCACTAAAACAACTTTGCAACACTGCACATATCACTCACTGTTTGGATACGTGCTCAAAAAAAACAGGAAGGTTCTGGGTTTATTGTTAAGCTGGGTCACTTATATGACACTTCAAACTACGACAAGACATCTACCCAATCCTCTCTAGTTTCAATAAGTTCTTCAAACCGTGCATTCTGTGATGAAAAGCATCTTCAGATTGTAGTTTATTCAGTTAGTCTTGAACATGTGTATGCAAATAGACGGTGATCGACTACAGTAAATCAAAATACATTGACGTCATATGACAAGATCGTGTAAATAGCAATTATGTGACATCAAATACTTTAATAAGCACTGGTCATTGAAAACAAAATTAATAAGATGATTTGGAACATACATGTTTTTCTTCAAAAATGTATATGAAATCGGTTAAAGCATAACATAATACTGTAATTTGTGTTGATAACATTTGACATGTATTAATCGAATCGTTCGGCTTTATATTTGTTGTTAAATTGATATTCATATCTTTGTTGGATGGAATTAACCAATTTTCCAAACAATGACAAACATCTGCATGTTCTGTTAAATGAGATAAACATCTAATCCAATTGAAGTAAATAGTATAAAATTCTGAAAAGTTGAATTCCACTTCACTTTGATCATCGTTATTATCGGTAGTTATACAAACAGGAGTAGTGGGAGTACTATCACTTTTCCTCAACATTTTGTCATCGGATTCTTTATAATTGATTATAGAATTTATAATATGTTGCAATATTCCATTGTTCACAATTAGTTTAGGACGAAATGAATCCATTGAGCTTAAATAACAAAATATCTCTGTGACCTTTTTAAAAGAAAGAAAAACAGACCGACTATTTAGTATATATGTGTCATATTTTATAGAAATGAAGCAAAAGCACTAAACCAAGATACCTATGAGCATGGTAACAAAAGTGAAACACTGAAAAGGAAAGCTTTTCAGTAGGTGAATGGTTGGAAGACAACATAAGAAATCAAATGAAAGAATAAAGTAACCAACGGTCAAGGTGTAAGGACAATGCTAGAACTAAGTCGATCGGAACAAAGAACTGAAATAGTAGAAGTAAAAATTGCCACATTTGCACCTCTCTGAAAAATGGTTGATCTAAAAGTCAGCTGATTAAAATATAATTTACCAACATTAGAGATTTGTTCATATTTCCTATTAAGAAGAACACTTCTAAATGTTAACATAATTTAATTCACTATATGATATATTTGTTTCTTTTCGTAGAGATTCCATTTATCAAATATAACTTAATAGAAGTGTTTGAAATCGGTATTTTGGCGAACCTTCTCCACAGACATATAAAATGTGAACGTTGGATAAAGTTAAGTAAAGAAAACAAAAGTTTTTTAGAATCTGACATTTCTAAGTATGAACAAGTTTCTAATCCTTTTCAGAATATATAGATGTGATTAAAGAATTAATTAATTGGTAACTAGAAAACTCGATATTCAACCATTAGGTCAAAGATGGAGAACATGCTAGTAGTATCATTGTTTCACATACAAAAAAGCATGGTTTAAAATCGGATACACAAATTATTGATCAACTACTGAGATCGGGCAATAAAAAATTAGAGTAACCATGGCTTGACTGCATGAAAAAAATTAGTTAATAAGGGATTCTTGTGAGGAATTTCGTGGTTGCAAAATTCTATGGAGTGAAGAAAAACTAATATATATCATGGCAAAATAAGTCGGATAGGAGAACTGAACTTATTAGGAGAAACGAGTAATTATCTTTGTTGCAAAAGGCCTAAATTTTAACTTGCAATAAACGCGCAGTGTTTATGAAAGTGTATTCATCAGAGCACCTAAACATTAATTTTCTAACCCATGGAATGTACATAGCTCATTAATTTCATATGACCTGAATACTTTTAATAATTAGTAATCATAGCTTTCGTATGTCATTCATTATCATATATATGATCTGTGTGAATTCATAAGGTGGACCGTAACATAATCATAGAGTTGGGTTCTTTGTGAATAAAACTAAGTGATAATTATATGTATTCGTGACCTTCACTAAGCTGGGAAACCATGCTCTACAAATAAATGTTTGTTTTAGTCCGTTTAGATAGGTGATACAGTGGGGCAATCAGAAACAGCCAAATGATGCACGTGACTAGCTAAGAAACGACTGTCATTTGAAAGGGGTGAAACATAAGCCACTGATAGGCCTAGTTTCTCAAGTGACATATATATATATATATGTAAATGAGTCCAAATACAATGGATTGAATTTAGCTAAATAAACATCTTTCCTCACTCTGTCTTTTTTTTTCTCAAGTGATCGGACTTGTGCATTGAAAGTGTGTACCGGTATCAAGTCTTTGACACCATACGTCACAACAAGGTGATGATTTATTTCAATCATTTGAGAGATCATTAGTACTACTTCTGTCACAACTATAGATATTTAGGACAACAAGTGAATGAATATGTTGAATCAATGAAACATTGCTTAAATAATAAACGACCACTGACCTGTATGATGATATGATATGCATGTTGTATAAATTTATCAATTTGATTTCCAAATACATCATTATTATTAGCACCGTCATTGTCATCATTGTTATTATGTTGCCCTTCGTTTTTAACAGTAATTACTGAACAAAAGTACTTCTTATTATTCAGGAAATAAATTAACATTTCATATATGTGCTTATGAATAGTCATTAAATTTGGTAAAAAGCTTGAATTGGAATGAAATTTAGGCATGAAATTTATATTGCTTATAAGAAACTTTATTGTTCCGGTTAAAAATAATAAACTTTCTAAATGCATACAGAATAATGTTGGGTTTTCAAACAAATTGTTCACTGAACAAGATTTTGGTGATAACGATGAGGTTACTGGTAATGTTGACGGATAGGCAACAGATGAGGAAACGGAAAAAGATTTAATGGACAATTCTATTAAGTGTAGAGCATCAATCAAAATGTCTGAAAATGTGGAAAACAAGAGAAATGTTAATTTTAACTTAACACAACTAACACTCAAATATTTAATAAGTAAGAGATTATGGAAATATTTGAAGGGCGATTAAGTAATGAGTAAGAAACAGACAATTCATCAATATTTTATTTCAGTGGTTCGAGAAGGCAGTTAACGAAGCTGATAGACATCAGCTTGAGGCACAGTAGAAATTAAGGACTACTAGATAAGTGTTCCATATAACTTCAAGACTCCAAACGATAAACCTGTCGGTAAAACACGAAAATTAAAAATAATTGTCCAATTACTAGTTTCAAGAAGATTCCTTAAATGTCCAATGGAAGTCGTGCAAAAATTTGATCATATCGGGATCGAGATAGCTACCATTAATGGCATTTAATGACCGTAGCGCCATGTCATGACTGACGAGTGACCTATGGCTGTAAATAAGGTTTTATATCAAAAAATTGACCCACTTTATCGTGCTTACTTGACTTATCACATCTAGCTACATTAAAAATTAAAAAAGGAATTTCAGTAACCTTAAAAATATCAAAACAATAAATTTATACTTACCAAGTGTATTAGGATTCTCTAGAAATAAGCAATCATTATTTGCATTTTTAGCCACTTTATAGACAATTTTACAAATGTTTAACAAATTTTTCCCAGTTACATTCATCTACAAAAAAGTGGCATGAGCGAAATTCTTGAGAGGGAGAAAATTACATTGAGTTCATGTAAAAAAGATTATTTTTTGGGATAAAAGACCGAGAAAGTGTCCTGATCATGCCACTAATTAACTAATTCTTTATATTAGTCCAAAGTTTGAAAATCATCAATAAAAGTTTTTTTGACAATCAAGTAAAATAATGGCACACAGGACCTAAAATTTAATTATAAGTCCCAAGGTCAACAACCGAATTCATTCTACTCTTATCAGAATTCCTATTTCCATTTAGAATTTATTGAGTGCATGATTTTTTTAAAAGATTCTTGATATATTTGTCTGTATTGAAGAAAAGTGTTTCATGAATGTACTTAAATTGTCTGACGCTATCTACTTGATCAAATATGACATAAAATAAAACCCAATAATTCTTTCAACTTTAATCTGAAAGCAGATTGGTATGATTGTAGTATAATCATAGTTGATACTTAAATCTCAGAAACACAATTTTTAACTGTTTCGATACTGTATGACATGAATTTGCCTTTACTGTTTGTTCTAAACAGTAAATAATATGTTTTAACAGAGTACTTAAACACATTTATAAAGAAATCACCACTAACTGTTGTGATAAGTACTATGAAACCAAGGAGAGACATGGAAGTAAATGGTACGTTTCTTTGCTCCTTTTATCCGCTGACGCAATGAAACTTAATGAAAATGGAATTCGTGAGCGTAAAGCGCAATTTGTATGGTGTACATTATATTGTTCAAGATATTTGCTTAAAACAGAAAAACAGTTCAGAACTGGATGAAAACATTTGTTTGAGAGCAGCTCTTAAACAATTTCCGTCGTAAAATGGTTTTTAGTGAAATTATCAAATCAGTAACAAAACTAAGTATATAGAAACATCAACTAACTAAATTACTACTAACTGTAAAGATCAATCTAGCTACTGCTAGATGTATCCTTGATGAAGGATAATTAATTAAGTTAAACACAGCTTTCAATAACGTTGAACGGTTTGGCCAATTTCGATTCCCTTCCACATCAAATTCACTGATACAGTTTTGTATACGATCTAATAGGTCTGTGATTTCAGTTTCGTTTGGTTTATTTGTTGTTAAGTTTGAATGAACAGTTTCTTCTTCGTCCACCGATTTATGCATACTTTTTGTCGAAGTTGTAGCTTTGTTCTTTGCTTCACTTGAATTTTGGTATTGTTCCTGAACTGATGAATCATTGTTGTCTTTAAATAATACTTGCGAATCAAATGTTTTTGAGTTTCGTAAATTAGAACAGGATGATGATGATGCTAATATCTCTGTTTTTATTGTTGATGTTGACAATGACAGTTCATTTAACTGATAAATTAAATTATCCAGTTCTGTAATGGATGACAAACCAGAGTCACTAGACACAGATGTTTGAAATTTGTCACGTAAATTTATATTAGTTATATCGTAATTGACTGAACGTTGATGTGGACCACAAGATTTAGGCTAGTAAATTTATTTGTAAAAAGCAAAAAAAAGTATATATGCACAGGTTTAGATTTTCACGTTATTTATATTAAGGATTACAAGTGACCAGTTTCTGTTGGCTCATGTGCATTCTAAGTGACTTGGTTTGATATTGTAAGTTTTATTACAGTCGGATTTTGACTAGCCTTTTAAAGAAAAGTAACCATTTTTCAAAATTTTAACCTAAATTGATCACAGTAGATCATTGTGATCCAATTTTTCGTCCCTGATTTACTGTGTGTTAGGTACTTGAGTTTTGTAAATCAATCATAAAAAATGTTCGAACAGTATAATCTAAATATTAGCGCTGAGTAACTGCAATATAACCTTGATTATCTACTAACTTGCCATTTATGATGACTGACCAAAGTTTAACGCCTATTAATTGTTTAAATTTCAACTTTAATGTCATTTGTCAATTTATATCAACTATATTAATAACAGGGATGCTTGTATTTGATGAAGGCCAAAATGAACTTTAAAACAATAAGGATCGACTGTTAAACATAGATAGCAAGAGACGGCGCTAATATTACGAAACATCTCTTTTTTTGAAATAACAGTTGATAAAACAATTAAATGAAAATTATAGTTAATAAGCTTAAATTTCAATATAAGTAATCAAATAAATAAGTTAAAGGAACTTCTGGCTAGCATTCTTTATAAAAATTTAATGAAATAACCCTTATCGATAAGTAGTAATATGCTGTTGAGTAGAAGACAAATGTTTACTCAATTACAAAGCGAAGTAAGTTAGTCAACAATTTTTATTGGAGACAGACCTGGTGTGAAATCTTTCAACTGAGCTCAAAACAAATACCTCTTTATTTTAATACAATTAGTGTAAAGGTTACAAGGGTTATGTTTATTCTGTAATGATCATTAATCGATAGGAAACCTGTCTAGAGAGTGTCAATCTTGCATTCTTCTAAGTTAACCAATGATATAGACACATGTGTATATTCCTATTTCTGAGTAATATAGTTGTAGCAGTATAAACATAAAGTCTATCAGAAATTGTGTTAGTTAACTCCCTACTTCACTGTAATACAATATAAGTAACACCATGAAAATAAACATAGAACCAGTTTGGACAAATAAAAACATTAATCGAAGTATAAAAAATATATAGAATATTTTCTTAATTGAAATTTCACTTTCGTTACTATTTCCTTTTATCAATACATAAAAATAATCAGTTATGCAAACAAGTAGACGAACATACACAAACAACATATCCAATATCCAAGAATTCTTTTAAACTTCCCCTATTCGCTTAAGTAATGAATTCTTCTTATATCTACTTGTCTTCAGATGTTTTAGTACTACATACACAACGGAAAAATATTTCTGCACAGATAAGAATTTAATAAATTCACGTACAATGAATATTTCATTGTTTAACAATAAGAAAAAGTAGTTTTAGTTACCATTGGAAACGGTGAATTGTATATTAGCAAAATGAAATTTTTTTTTAAAAAAGTATAAAATTTCTAAAGGAAAGGAATATTGTTTTGTTAAGATTAGCAGGGCTATTTTTATGTTACTTTAAAATTAAGCTTTGATATAACCAAATAAAAAGAACAACAAATTAATGGTACACCTCGACAAGTGTAGTTTTTCATAAGTGGGATTGTTAAGAAAGTTAATTCTTAAGTATAAATAGTTTTTTAGAAATCTTATATGAATAAGTATAAATTATATTGTCTGAGTTTATGAATGGTACAACTAAATAGAGAGTTAAACATTTTCTGTATAGAAAACGGTAAATGCCAGCAATCAAAGGGTTGAAAATTTCTAGTGATGAGATAATTCTAGTGGGCAGCCTATGCTCCTCCACTACGGGTAACAGGCGTAAGTAAGTAAGTATGATCAGATAATTATGCTGATGACTTCAATCATAACGATGTACATGAAACATGTTATTCCTTGAAAACTAATAGTTATTTCTGTAAATCTATACTTTAACTCATTATTTGATGTTTTTAAATTAATTGGAACTTTTTCTCTATGAATTAGTAAACTAAGTTGGTAATCATACAATAATATTCTCAGTGGTATTCTACGTCATTTAGGCAGTCTGAATAAGGGGCTATTATAGTAATTAATATGAATAACAGATCTAAGGAAAAGTTTATTTTGAACTAAAAAGAAAGTTGTTCAAACATTCATTTTAAAAAGGAGCAAGTCAAGTAATAAACGCTTTTATTAAATACAAGTAACCGGAGTCATTAAAGTTGATGCACAATTTCTGTCAAAGTATCTATATAGATATTTGAGATGTTTATTTTAGTATTAACGTTAAGGAAGTTAGTCCTATATACTGGTTATCTATATCAACTTAAACGAAATTTAAGTGACACAATGAGCTTAATTGACAATTGTTATGATATTACATATCATTCAAATTCCATTTTATACTAAAATTCAAATCACTATTCAAACAATAAAATATAACAAAAGCAGTAACCAGTGAAGTACAACCAGGTCTGTTGTGAGATATCAACTCATTGAACACAATGGTGAATGGTTGCTCATTTTCGTGGATTGGTTGAACTTAGACATTAACACCGTTGAATGCCGGCTCAGTGGTTCTAGAGATTAAGCGTTCGCGAGCGAGACTGATAGGTTCTGGGTTCGATTCTCGCGAGGCGGGATCGTGAATGCGCACTGCTGAGGAGTCCCACAATAGGACAGAACAGCCGTCCAGTGCTTCCAGGTTTTTCATGGTGGTCTAACTTCAATTGAACTCCGCCTGTAGCTCTTCTAGAGTTACTGCCGGTCCCAAGCCCGGGTAAAGGAGGAGGGTTGGGCATGGGGTTAGCGACCCCATCCCGTAGAAAAGCTAACTCGCTAAAAAACGCTAACCAGAAAAAATAATCCAAACCATTTAAACTCTGCCCTGGGAGTTGAAGGAATAATTATGACGTCTCATGATGAAAGCCGAAATTCTTCGGAAGTCACGAAATCGATGCACTTTCTAACAACCAGAGCAACACTCTTTATAGGTACATGGAACGTCCGGACAATGTGGGAAACAGGAAAGACCAGCCAAATAGCAATGGAAATGAGGAGATACAACTTGGCAGTACTCGGAATCAGCGAAACCCATTGGACACAAACTGGACAACAAAGGCTAGGTACAGGAGAGATGCTGCTGTACTCCGGTCACGAAGGGGAAAATGCTCCACACACTCAGGGAGTTGCTCTAATTCTGTCCAAAGAAGCACGAAATGCACTTGTAGTAAGGGAATCTCATGGACCCAGGATAACCAAAGCATCATTCAGAACAAAGAAGCAAGGGATCACAATGCACGTTATCCAATATTATGCACCCACCAATGATAGCAACGACGATGATAAAGATCAGTTCTATGAAAGGCTGCAATCAATTATGGAGAAGTGCTCACGAAAGGACCTCACCATCCTGATGGGAGATCTAAATGCTAAAGTTGGAGTGGACAACACAGGATATGAAGATGTAATTGGACGACATGGACTAGGAGAGAGAAATGAAAATGGGGAGAGACTTGCAAACCTATGTGCATTCAACAAATTGGTTATAGGCAGCACAATATTCCCACACAAACGCATACACACAGCTACATGGATCTCACCGGACCACACCACAGAGAACCAGATTGATCACATCTGTATCAACAAAAAATTCCGAAGATCAATGGAAGACGTGAGAACCCGGAGAGGAGCTGACATAGCTTCAGATCACCACCTGGTTGTGGCCAAGATGAGACTGAAGCTTAAGAAACACTGGACAACTATACAAACAGCACTACAAAGGTTCAATACAGCCTTCCTTCGAGATACTGACAAACTCCATGAATTCAAGATAACTCTCAACAACAGGTTCCAAGCTCTACAGGATCTACTGAAAGAACAAGAAACTACTTTGGAGGACAACTGGAAAGGGATAAAAGAAGCACTAACTTCAACGTGTCAGCAGGTTCTTGGTCCTAAGAAGCACCATCACAAGGAATGGATCTCTATGGGAACCCTGGACAAAATTCAAGAAAGGAAGAACAAGAAACTAGCAATTAACAACAGCCGAACACGAGCAGAGAAAGTCAAAGCACAAGCAGACTACGCGGAAGCAAACAGAGAAGTGAAGAAAAGCATTAAGGCCGACAAGCAGAAATACATGGGAGAACTAGCAACGACGGCGGAAAAAGCTGCAAGAGAAGGGAATATGAAACAACTATATGACACAACGAAGAAATTGGCAGGGAGATATAGCAAACCAGAGAGACCAGTCAAAGACAAAGAAGGAAAGACAATCACTGAGATTCAAGAACAGAGGAAAAGATGGGCAGAATACTTCGAGGAACTGCTGAATAGACCAGCCCCATCGAATCCACCGAACATCGAAGCAGCCCACACAAACCTTCCAATAGATGTCACTCCACCAACGATCGAAGAAGTCAAGATAGCCATCAGACAAATCAAAAGTGGGAAGGCGGCAGGACCTGACAATATACCAGCAAAAGCACTGAAGTCAGACATTGAAATAACTGCAAACATGCTTCACCTTCTATTCAAAAAGATTTGGGAAGAGGAACAAGTGCAAACAGAGTGGAAAGAAGGATATCTCATCAAGATACCAAAGAAAGGAGATCTGAGCCAATGTGAGAACTACAGAGGTATCAGTTTGTTATCAGAGTACCAGGAAAAGTTTTCAACAGAGTGCTGCTGAATCGGATGAAAGACGCAGTAGACGCCCAACTTAGGGATCATCAGGCTGGATTCCGTAAGGATCGGTCGTGCACAGACCAGATTGCGACACTACGGATCATCGTTGAACAATCAGTTGAGTGGAACTCATCACTATACGTCAACTTCATTGACTATGAGAAGGCGTTTGACAGCGTGGACAGGAGAACATTATGGAAACTTCTTCGACACTATGGAGTTCCTGAAAAGATTGTCAACATTATCCAAAACTCATACGATGGACTACAGTGCAAAGTGGTGCATGGAGGACAGCTGACAGATGCATTTCCAGTAAGGACCGGAGTCAGACAAGGCTGTCTACTCTCCCCATTCCTCTTCCTTCTAGTGATTGACTGGATTATGAAGAATTCGACATCTGAAGGGAAATACGGAATACAATGGACAGCTCAGAATCAATTAGATGATTTGGACTTCGCAGATGACCTAGCCCTCCTCTCTCATACACACGACCAAATGCAGATGAAGACAGCAAATGTAGCAGCAGCCTCCGCATCCATAGGCCTCCACATTCACAAAGGAAAAAGCAAGATTCTCAAATGCAACACGGAGAACACCAACCCAATCACACTTGATGGCGAAACTCTGGAAGAGGTGGAAACATTCAAGTACCTGGGGAGCATCGTTGATAAACAAGGAGGATCGGATGCAGATGTAAAGGCAAGGATTGGCAAAGCAAGGGCAGCATTTCTACAATTGCAGAACATATGGAACTCAAAGCAACTCTCAACCAATTTCAAGGTCAGAATCTTTAATACGAACGTCAAGACAGTCCTACTGTATGGAGCTGAAACGTGGAGAACTACTACGGCCATCATCAGGAAGGTACAAGTATTTATAAACAGTTGTCTACGCAAAATACTCAACATCCATTGGCCGGATACTATCAGCAACAGCGTTTTATGGGAGAGGACAAACCAGCTTCCAGCTGAAGAGGAAATAAGGAAAAGACGTTGGAAGTGGATCGGACATACATTAAGGAAATCACCAATGTGCATCACGACTCAATCCCTAACTTGGAATCCGGAAGGGAAGCGGAAAAGAGGAAGGCCAAAGAACGCACTACGCCGGGAAATAGAAGCCGATATGAAAAGGATGAATAGCAACTGGAAAGGAAGGCTCAGGACAGAGTTGGATGGAGAATGCTGGTGAGCGGCCTATGCTCCTCGACGAGGGGTAACAGGCGTAAGTAAGTAAGTAAGTAAGTAACTTCAATTGACTCATGCTTTCAACTATATAAAATTACTATAATCTCCACAAAATCCTCTTCTGATAAAAATCAAATTAGCATTCAAAGTCTTTCAACTTCATTAATCGAAACACTAATTAAGGAAAACAATCTACATATAACTAAGAAATATTTCTTAAAATGTAAAATTATTTTTTGAAAAAATTGCTTTAATAAATAAATCAAGTTTATTATGAAAACAGAATGATATTTTAACTTATCACCAACTTTATTCTCATCGACAATTAATTTGGTAAATTCTCTACTTGTATTTGTTCCAGTAACAGCAGATCGAATACCATTAGACCTAACTTGATGTTTATCTTCTTTAGTAGTTGAAGTTTTTCTATTCGATAAAAGAAATGAATCAACTGGACTATTTGGCCGAAAGGATTCATCTCCATCTATTGAAGATAATGTTAACATTTGAGGAGGACTAAGATAGTAAGGATATGCGGTAATTCTTGTTGTTATTTTATTATTGGAAGAATGTTTTTCATGTAGAATAGAATCAATTTTTGAGAAGATTTCCTTATTTTTATTTATTTCCATTTGAGTATTTTGTGAATATTTTTGAGTAGTTGACGTCATCTGAAGTCTAACAAATAAGGAATGAATTAAAATGGAAAATAATGTTAATCTATAAGTGAATAGTAATCAAAGTTATTTTGTTTAGTTTACATTGATAATTGAATTCTATTAATCAGTTTTATAATTCGAAGACTAAGCTAAGTGATTTTGTATTGCAAGGTAGTTTGTTTAACATAAAATGATTAAAGATAATAAACAAGATAATTTGAAAATGTAAGACTTATTGTCAAAGTTTAAATGTAATTCTGAACCATATTATGCTCTTTTTTCTAGATATTTATACTCATAGCACTTACTAAGTGCTAGGGGTAATGCTTTCATCTAAATAAGTTAGAAATAAGGTTAGTTTGAAGAATACAGTGGATCGATTGTATTTCGTTGTTTTCTCTTCCGACATTAAGTTTAATTATTTTCAACTCAAAACATAATTTGGAATTTGAAAAATGAACTGTCCAATAATAAAGAATGAGGCGTAGACAATGTAAATGTGATAGTAGTTAGGAATTAAAGTTTTTAACAGTGATTGTTCTAGAATAAATTTACGTCAATTTTTACTATAGATTATAACAAAAAGATTGAAGAGTTCTGGGAAGAAAAGACATATAAGCTGAATTCACTAGATTGTGATTAAAATTAACTGGACAATTAAAGTAGGAAAAGAGATTATAGTGCTTTTGGTATGAAAGTAGGAGAAAGAGATTAACCTTTAACTCTTTTTGAATACAAAGGTCAGGTTCAAGCCTTCGAGTTATTATAGCTTTCACAAAATACTATAATACTGTAGTGTTGGAATGCTTGTTGATTATTGTAAATCCATTCATTACAATCACTTTATATCTTTTTTAAAGGTGTTGGGCTGAGAAGAACACCTTTTCCTTGGTTACATACGTTTTTTGGAATATGTTTAAAAAACGTGGAGATGCCCATACTTTTATCTTTCTACTACACATGCTTTTGCATGGACATTTAAATTGATATAGACGGTTTGTGATATGTGAAAGATATTTGCTTACTTTCGTTCATATTACTGAACATACCATTATATACACTGAAAACAATTTCGCAGTAGGAAATGTACTCTTTAAAGCTACCTTACATTTTTGGTTGGTTTTATTCGTGTTTCAATTATTTTAGCATGTTAACTGTTTTAGTTTGTGAACCTGGGCCGTACTGTGGTGTTTAGTACCATATTTTCTGATAATTTCTTAAAGGTACCCATTTTATGGAAGACAGTTATTTGCTTTTACGCTCTTTTCTTCCAGCTTTTCCAGTGAGGATAACTTTCTATCTCTGTGGTACTGAATTCTTGCTAACCAGTGTTTAATAGATTAGGGGGTAAAAGTTGTGAAACTTCGGGCATACATGAGAAAGAAACCTATATTAGACAATACAAAATAAACCCATCAAATTCTAATAAACAGTGAAACGACTTTAAAAGATTGAATGCAGTAAATTTAGAGTAAGAATTTTAAAAAGTCAATTGCTTTTGTTCATAGTTCGCGGAAATTAATAGAGACTACAATACTTGAATGGGGCAGGTATTATGATTTCTATATGCTGAAATCACAAATATAGGAAGTACGGAAAACAAGTTAGTACAGTATTTTTCAACCACTGATTTACATTGTTCTTTTCCATTACTCCAGTCCATTATTATTTGACAATGATGTCAGCCTGAATCACAAACCGACGTCAATAAAAAAGAAAAATAACTTTTCGTTGCATCAAGTTTGATAACTGCAAGAGCTTACCCTGAGGAGTTTCTCTTTTTGTTTGTGTATCAATACTAGCTTTTGTAGTAATTATATCGTTATAACACATGGTTTACGTTTCTTCAACTTTGATAAACTTCATGATAATATTTATTGCCTCTAATCTTCGTTATTTAGATTCATTTTTTATGAAATCTTGTAATTCATAAACTGAATAATCACGTGGAGATTTTCTACTTTATGGAAGTATTAATTTTCAAGCCACAGCAGTATACGACGTACCGATTGAGTGTTGTTGAAGTGTCAAACAACAAGAGCAGTTTTTTGGTACTGCCTAGTTATAAATGATTTTCTAGTAAACGTCAGTTCGTATCCTTACCAATGAGTTTCTTTTAGATGAAGTTATTGTCATAAATAATAACAGTTAAAGATAATAAGGCCGAAATTGAGACAGATCATAACTGAAGATCACTGGATGACAGTTATGCTTTGTCACTAGTTGATGGGATTTGAAAAAACATGAACTATTTGATTCCGAAACTGTAGATTAAAGATATTGTATCACATGGGAAACTTTAAGATCATCGGTTCTATCCACGGTTTGGATAACTTTAACTGCTCTTCTAGTTATATATACCTCAGAAAAATAATACTAGAGAGCATCTTATAATATGGGCTAAACTTACTCGGTACAACTACCATATGGAGACTTTGGAGCGGAGCATCGTTCTGATTTAATAAACGAACAAGCTGGACGCTTAACATTTGTCGGGGAGATCAAACGAGTTTGTGTGCCAATAAGTTCTAGACGTGGTGAATTTTTCTGACTATCAGTCAAAACAGATTCCTCCATGGGTCCACTGGGTTGAGATGGTGTTGCTGAAATAAAAAGTTCTTTCTTTAAATGTTATTTATCATAAAGTTATATATAGAATAATAACTTGATAAACTTGTCTTAGTTCAATTATTAATTTACTGTTTTGATGATTCGCATAAAAAATCCTACCTTATACGTTTGTCAATAGTTGGGATGGTAGGAAGTACAATTGCTGTTGACAAAATAAACACAGCCTTAGGTCCAAAAATCAAAGCTTTTGTGATCACGTTAGAAAATACACCAAGAAATATTTTAGAAATACCAAAAGATCTCGCATTCAACGGCATACCTGTCGAGCAGCAATATATGTTAATTAAAAACATGTACGAGCGAATTTTAACTCAAGCCTAGGAGCAATGCGCTCACTATGAGACCTGTTAGCCATAATTTCGTTCCTATGTAGCTTCATCTATGTACACTGTGAATTAGTTGAGAACTAGGTTGTGTTTTGCATTGATTTTCCAGCTAATATTAGTTTATGATAAAACCTATCATCAAACACGAAGACATAAGATGATTAAGATATAGGAAACCATTAGTATTTTACCCAAGACAAACAAACGAAACAAGTATTTTGTAGATTACTGCTAAACAACTTTTCGGCTGTATAAAGGGTTCCTGTAGTAATTTTTTTTACATCACGGAAAACTTCAAATTTACAAAAAGGAAGATGGCAATATACGATTAATTCTCTAATGAAATGAAAACTTTTTTTATTATTGTAATTACGTCGTTGTTATTTTCAAGTTAGAAGCTTACTTTACAGATCAATCAACCAATTCAGTTATTTGGAGACAAAAAGGAAGAATAGGTTATGAATTCAGTTGAGATAAATTATTTATATTGGAAACTTGATTGGCATTTTAAAGAAAAAAAAACACATTTTCAGTGAAACTTTCGTTTACCCTAGTTTTGAGAAAGAAAACTTAAAGAAACCATTCGGGTTAAAATATAGTTAGCTATTTAGACAATATAAATGTTCAGTTTAATGTTGAAAATGTATGCCTAAATCAGCGCAAATGAATTCCCAGTTCACACAAAGAGAAAACAAACATCCGTAGTGTATATGTGTATTTTAATACCTTTACCAAGATTCGTATAATAGTTTAGCTATAAATCCACCTAAACTTATTTGAATGGGGAATGACATAGAAAGATAATAATTGCAGTAAAATATATTCTCTGGTGTACCTTAAAATAATACTTAGTACATGTCAATGAGAGGAAATTGTTTCTGCACTTTCATTTATTTGTTAAGTATTTTGAGCTAATACTTATCCTAATATAAAGTGTCTGGACAACGCTCCAGTTGTTTCAAATGTGGTTGCAACTTGAGTGGGCTATTGACACTTGTTTTTCAACTCTTAATAAATTTGAAATATCTATGATAAATATAAAGCTTGGAAAAGAGATAGAATACGTTTATTATACTATAAAGGCCCAAGTTTATGTGGAGTAGTCATGAAAGTTACTTACTATCTGGGCGATTTCATAGACCTCACATCATTCTTGATCAGTGGTCATTATAAATTGTATAAAAAGGTGGTAATCTTATTTTACGAATCGTAAATAAGCCGGTTTGACTAAAATAATTCCCAGTCTTGAAACTTGTGCTTATTGAACGCCGAAAAGTTGGTTCAAGAACGTTAGTGTATTAAGTAAGTAGAACGACGAAATAGTCCCGTCAGCAAATATTGGCTGATCACTGACATAATTTCGGTCAAGGACACAAAAAGCCTAGTTAACATTTACAAATCTTTTCTGTTTGTAAGACCAATAAAATATTTAACTGCCTGTCAAACATGAAGTAAATACAATGACCCCGTAAGCTATTCGGCTTTATCCCAGAAGCATGAGTGAAAGATATACTCACACTAGAAATATTCCATTACTTGCATTCTTAAATCAACTCAATAATACAGTAAAATTACCGCACCAACAATCTTTTCACTATGATTATTTTTCTACGTAAGGATGACAAGTTTGTCAAATTTCCTACTAATTGTGACTTATTCGTTTCAAATGTAATTATAATAGTCGTACTTGACACTTGCGTTTTAATCTTATCCACGAGGTGTAGTAACTTAAGCTAATACATTTTGTGCTAGAATCTGTGTTAATGTACTTTTTAGTATTGCTAAAAATGTGTTTTCCTCTATTGAACCAGAAGGAAATTTCTATATTTCTATCTTTATCGATAGCACTTTTTTAAGTTATTCAGAATGATCCAGTTCCTTTTTTATTTATTAATCCATTTCATTCCATCTACCTGGTATATAAGGGTAAATATTTGTTTTCTTAAAAGTCAAACTAGGTTCACTTTGAGCTTTACTTATCACTAGTACATTATTTTTTACTAATTCTGTAATTGATTGACTGGATTACCAGTTTCCATCCAGTTGAGTTTTGTATTTTATGTTTTATTCGGTAGTATTCAATCAAATATTCTAACTACAGAAAAATTTCTTATATTTAAATATTTAGTATTAAACAGATAAGGGCAGTGACTATGTGTCCCGCATAATCTTCATTTAAGTAAGACAGTGTTGAAATATTCCCGAAGTGGATCCTGGATCCTGATGACCGATCTAAGATCTTAATGAAGTCTATGTTTGCTTGGAATTCGAATTCATTTTATTTAGCAACACAATGTGCTATTATTACTGATCTATTCATGCACTAACTGGTTTCCTCTTCACGGTAATCAAGAAGCGAATAATATGCAATGTCATATTTTTTTTCCAAAGCGCCAGTCTATAAAATTGCAGTATGGATACTAGTCTAAGTGATTCGATATAGTGGTTTACTTTGATGGTAAATGGTTGAAAGTAGTTAATGGGAAACTTTATTTGATTACACTATGATAGGCTTGGATCAGTTCGAACCCATGTATCATAACACGTGATATGCTTTTGGCATACTGAGACCAATAAAAATATGTATCGAAAACGTGTGAGAAATTCTAAACACTTAATAATCCAAACATAAGAGTATAAAATATTCTAAACCCTTTCTCCACAATTTACATCACGGTCTGATCTTAGTTAGATAACTATTGATGACTAGGAAGTTCTCCATTGTTGTTTCGTTCTAGTATGAGACCCTTCAGAAGGGTGTATTTAGGTAACGTGAACAAAGTTTCAATGGAATTTATTCAAACGTACTTTTTTCAGTGGAATCTAAATTGATGATAGTGACAATAGTCCACAAATATAAAAAGGTACATTTTTCAACAGTTTACCTTTAAAAGGTGATTTTGTTATTAATTATTTCCCATCTTATAAATATCCCTTAGATACTTATCTATATAAAGTGAGAAAAAATATTGATGCTTAAAATTGAATAGTGTCAGCGACAATTTAATAGAAACTTTTTAAATTTAAATAACATTCTGTACCGTATCACAATTCAGTGATCAAAAGTGACTATGGTTATTCGTTAATTCAGAATTTATTTATCCAACCATTTAAGACAGTTTGTTGCCAACGATTTGTTGATATTCAGTGTCATAGGGATTTTCAAACTATTTTGGGTTCATATCACAGCTTAAAACCGTGAAGCAATAAGATGACTTTATTAACATGAATAATTTTTACATCCTACCATTAAATGTATCTAATCTAAAAACGAATCCAAGCTTGTTTTCGCTTTGGAGAGAATTAGAATACTAGCGTTGATTTTGGTGAAGGTTCTACCATGCCAGACAGGTCGGTTGAAGAGTGGTAAGACTAAAAGCAGCAAACCCAGGGTCCGAAGGCGAAGTCATACTGCCGACTGTACAGAGGTGTGACGGCAGTAAGGTGTTTCTTTCAAACAACCAGCGTCTGCAGCGATGCTGCCTTCCCACAAATAAGGAAGGGGTTAGGAAAAGTCAACCCTGAGAATGCACACCTCGGCTTATCCCACGGATTTCCGTCTCTACCGGTAAGGTCCTTTGAAGAACGGAGCTAACAAGTCTAGAATCCCCCACAAAAAGGCTGTACGTGACCGGCTTCAAGCAGTTGTCCCTTGGACTCTGCGGTTAAGCTCTCAGGTCGTGAAGACCGACATTAATCCAACTTCATTTTCACATTCCTCAAGAAATACCCTTCCACGGTGTGGGCAGCCGGGAAATTATATCAGCCGTCAAACACCTAACAACACACGAGAACAAGTTGGTCACATTCAAATCCTTCCTACGCCTTACAATAACTCTCTTATCTCCTCGACTAACCCTTCTCACGTCCTTTAATCACCTCACACCACTAGGGGAAACGATTCGAGTACACAGAACGTTATTCCTGGTCTCCTGAAACTACGCTCTAAACTACATGTAGGAACTTTTAACGTCCGAACATTGTGTCAAATAGGACAACAGGCCTCCTTAGATAGAAATTTAGAATCTCGCACCATCAATGTGCGCTGCGTCTCCGAAACGCGCATACAAGATCCGAGTAACATCATTCATTTGACCTCACCATGTTAGGCAGCCATGTAAGTAGTGTTCACCCTGAGGCAGCGTGGAATAACATCCAAAAAGCTGTGGAAACAGCAGTGATGTCTGTTAATCCGGTAAACCATAAGGTAAAGGAGAAACACTGGATCTCAGTAGCATCTACCACACTGATAGATGCTCGTAAATTCATCTCATCTGGCTCTGAACATAACGAAGAGCGGAGTCAGCTTAAGCGCAGGTTAATAAGAAGCCTACGCAATGATCACGAACAGTGGTTGGTATCGAAAGCAAGAGAGATGGGAAAGGCAGTGGCAATAGGCAACATCAGACAACTGTTCAGACGTGTTAAAGAAACCGGTATAAGGAACCCAAATGTCAGTGAAACTATCTCGGAAAAAGATGGACATATCATTCATTCTCAATCCGGGAGACTGGATCGATGGGCAGAGCACTTTAGGGATCAGTTCAACTGGCCTTCAGACACACTTCGATTTCCCACGATCCCCAGTCGACCTGAATGGTAAGTTAATGTAAATCCTCCAAATCTTTACGAGGTTGAAAAGGCTATAGGAAATCTGAAGCGAGGGAGAGCAGCAGGCCCTGACTGGCTTACCCCTGAGATTTTTAAGGATGGCGGTTCAGAACTAGCGAGCGAGATTGACTGAGGTCTTAGGTAGAATCTGGGAACTGGACGTAATTCCATCTGACTGGTCCCAATCACTGATTGTGCCAGTCTATAAGAAAGGATAAAAGTCCTCCTGTGACAATCACAGAGGAATCAGTTTGACTAATATAGTGTCTAAAATATTAGCTTCAATAATACTTCGACGCCTAACCAAAGCTCGTGAAGAGCAGATTAGAAAAAACCAGGCAGGTTTTCGACCTGGACGTGGTTGCATAGACCAGATATTCACTCTGCGTCAGGTCCTAGAACATAGACACACATCCAGACGCCCCACAATCGTAGTATTTCTTGACCTTAAGGCGGCATTTGACTCCGTTGATTGTGAGGTTCTGTGGCAGTGTTAGTCACTGAAAGGAGTACCAAAGAAGTACATTAACCTCATAAAGGCTCTCTACTCGAACACAACCGGTCGAGTTAGAGCTTATGGCGAACTGTTATCAGAATTGATTATCTCAAGTGGTGTTCATTAGGACTGTCCACTATCGCCATTCTTGTTTAACTTTGTCGTTGACATACCTTTAGAGATAACACTTCCATCATCTAAATCTCCAGGAGTTGAACTTTTACCGGGAGACTCACTTGTCGACTTAGAATACGCCGACGACATAGTTTTATTTGGTGAAGACGCTGACAAAATGCAGAGTCTTTTGACCACTATAAGCAACTATGCAGGCATGTTCGGAATGCGATTCTATCCCTCGAAGTGCAAAATGTTACTTCAGGATCGGGTTGTATCGGCACCTAAACTAATGATAGGGAGTGAAGTAGTTGAGTGTGTAGACCACTTCACTTATCTTGGGAGTCTCATCAGCCCTTGTGGTCTGGTGTGTGACGAAATCTCAGCACGGATACAGAAGGCTCATCTAGGCTTCGCCAACTTGCGTCATTTATGGCGTAGGTGAGATATCCGTCTAGCAACCAAAGGACGGGTTTACTGTGCAGCAGTTCGTTCCGTCCTACTTCATGGCAGTGAAACATGGTTGGTAATGGTAGAGGATATTCGTAGGCTGCTAGTATTCGATCATAGGTGTCTTCAAAGCATTGCTCGTATATCCTGTGACCACCGACTAAGTAATGCAGTTGTTAGAAAACGGGTACTAGGTAAGGATGGCAAATCGATTGATGAAGTAGTGAAACTTCATCAGTTGAGGTGGATGGGACACGTGTTACGTATGCCCAACCACTGACTGCCCCGACGTGCAATGCTTTATGGTGTTGGAGTAGGTTGGAAGAAAGCTAGTGCCGGCCAGACCGAAACGTGGCACAAATCCATGAAGTCACTGACAATTGGACTGAGACATGTTGGTAGGTGTAGACTACCTGATTGGGATCCGCGAGATGATAGCAACCGATGGTTAAACACCTTGAATGACATGGCTCGAAATCGTTTGCAATGGCGAAGGTGCATCCACTCTTTGTGTTCTCCCAAATTCTAATCTTCTGAATTCATCATGTCTCTCTATTTTCTCTTTCTAAATTTATTTCACTGTATTATACTCCTTGAATAACATCTTCAAACCCTAATCTTTCAGATTACTGTGTATACTTTTACTATATCTACCACTATGGGATTTGAATCAACAACTGCATCTCTGTGCTAATGTGGTATGGCAACTCGAACTGATGTACGTACGTACGAAGTTCTACGTTGTGACTGACTGACTGGCTAATTTATTCAAACTTGTAATGTCGATGGTTTAGTGATAAGGCAAAATCCCAAACCCGAAAATTATAGCATAGAATAAAAGGGGTTTGGTTGTGGGGAAAAAATTCAGTCTAATATTTTGGCCAGTCAAGCATGAACACTCGAGAATAAGTTAGGAATTAAGTATATAACTCATCAATTTAACTGTATTTCCTATTAAAAGCACTTCACTATGTCGATGTTGTAAATTCTATACATGCATTAAGTTATTGATTAATTTTTATTAAGTTCAGTGTATTCAAGTTTGACTATTGTTCAGAAAAGTAAATGAGATACGACTCAGTATATGTTGATATAGTTGTTGATGAAGGGTTGGATCAGTTGGGCATTTATTATTCTTGCACGATAAAGCCTTCATCTCCAGTTTTACTTTCTTCATTGAGGTATCAGTATCAGTATCAGTATCAAAGCGGTATCAGTATATTTTTGGTTATAACAGATAAAGATACCAACATTTTTCAAATTACAACGGGATGGAAAAACACTTAAATAATTTAAACAGCGTAAATCACATACCGGAGTGACGAACGCGAATTCGGTCATCGAGATTTTTAGATTTTCGTTTTACGACAAGTTTCATTTCAATTTTACCAAGCTTTGATTGCTTCTGAACATTTTTTTTCTATAAGTTATAAAATGAATAGATGTTTAGGTTAAATAAAGTTCTCAAACTCAGTAGTACATAATCATTTTTAGGAAGACATTGCTAAAATTACTAATAAGTACATACAAGATACCCTTCTTATATATGAAGGTAGTTCAACGCATTCTGAGTTAGATGATCTAAGCTATACTGCATAACATACTTATACGATACAAAGGAAAAACACAATCCCTTATTACTATTAATAATGAATATGATACCCGTTGAACAAGTTAGTGATCATCTGCATTTAATAAACTAGTGGATAAACCGTTGAGGTTTGAAGCAATAAGTACTAAGTATGAGTAATAGCTTGAACGTATGCAATGATGAGTCCTGAACAGGATCAAAAGCTCACTCTGAACTACTCTGTTGTTTAAAACGCTAAAATTTAGCAAGCTGGTGATCTAAGACAATGTTAAAAACGTTCTTCCAATGGGGATATGCTGAAAGAGAGACTGATAACATGAAATCCTGGAAATTAACAGCGGAAAAACATGCGGTCTAAACTTTAGAAGATGAATAATTTATTCAAAGACACGATATTACGAAAGAAATATTTTTTAGAAAATTAAAACGTTAGTTATTTCTTAGTTTTCTTTAAATTATACTTGAAATAATTACATTAAGATACCTGTTTTCGAAAACAGCCAGAGAAGTTTAGTTTAAGGAAAGGAAAATTGGTTCATCTTACTCTTCAGTCGAAATATTGTGCTTCTTTGAATATTCATGAGTAACTTCTATCCATGCGTTTTGTACTAGTGTGAATAACGATGGCAAAAGTATGTCAGACATTGATATGAATTGGTTTCTTTCTGTGTTTGAAATCAAGAAGCGAAACAAGTTGGATTGAATCGCCTTTTTCTGGTTTAAAAAGTTAATGTAACTATCCTTCCAGACATAACTTCGAGGAATATATTTCGGTCAATTATCGAAATAGAAGTAAGAAACGACAACTCAATTACTTACTCACTTCTGTTACCCCTCGCGGAGGAACATGGGCTGCTAAAAAACGCCAACCAGATTAAACAAATTAAACCATTTGGACAACTCAATTAGTGCCTAAAAGCGCTTTTCACAAAGCTTGCTAGATTCATAGTTTACCTATAACGATTATTTAAAATTAGAAATTCTTGTAATGGTGTCAACTTCCGAGAGATGAACTACCCACAAACAACCCTGAATGTTTCGTGACTATGATGAGGGGATCCAGATCTTTTATTTTTTAAACTGTAGCTGAATGATGGCAAAACTACAATTTATGGACGAATCAATCAGATAAAAGATAACCAGTATTGGGTTTTGGCACGAAATTCATTCATCCATTTGGCTAAATAGCGCTTCGGCATTTTAGCTTATGTCAGTTCGTGACAAGAACCCTAAATCTAGTTCATGACCCTAACCATAAACTTTAAATCATAATTCTAATTCTGCACATTGCTTAATAACCCCCACTTAGTCCTAGTTAGTGGGTGGACATTTTCAAAGTCACTTTATCGTTGCTTAAAGAACGTCCATAGTCTCACCATTTAAATGATAGTTCATCAATATATTTCATTACCCAATTATGTCTAAAAAATAACAAATAACACATTCTAATATTTCTCAACGAGAATATGAGTTAGTAATACACTGTACAATAAGTTGACGTCTGGATTCAGTTTAAATCGTGATTATAAATTGGATTAATTGTTGAAACACCGGTGAATAGTGGTCTGTTAGGGCATTTATATGAAATGATAATTGCTTTTTACTTAGTTAGGTAGTTTGTTTTAATTTTAAAGCAATATCTTCAAGACCTTGTTCATTTTTAGCAACCCAAGTGTGTTCTAGTCAGGCAGTTAATGGGTCACAATCAACTTAGAGTCTGGCATGAATGTGTGAAAGCTACACTCTCCATATCGCAGTTGCACAATAAGATGAAGTTAACAAGATGAATAGTGAAAAAAAATCGAAATGATATGGTAGGTATGATAATGATAAAGGCTGAACATCGGCGATATTGTACAAAAAGTCAGAATAAAAAAGCATCTGTGTAGAAATGCTGAAACTAAAGATCTAGAATAAGGTAAAGAGTGAATTCATCTGTGTCTTATAATCGACTATGAACCATAAAGCCCAAAGTCTCCAAGCACTGGTTGTATAGCAAAGGCTCTGACCAGGTAGTTTGTATCTCACAAATTGTCTCGGACCAACAGTCAATTGATTGATGGAATGATGCTACGCTTTAGTGTAGAGGCTCATCGATTTCTTCAAGTTTGTTATTACACTGACATGACCTATCGTGGTAGCTGGTGGTTTGTAATACGTAAAATACATTTCCCAATTACCTCAATTGATCAAAAACCACAATCACATATATCATATACTACTTGTAATACCATTACTTAATTTATGTGCCTCAAATTCAGTCTGACAATGAATTGTTATATGAATTCTAAAATCAAATAAAATTGTATTCAGACGCCATTTGTTTCCTAAGTATCAGCATCGTAATATGGACTTTTGAGTAAATGAGGTCCGAGAATCTACTAGAAAGTGGTTGAACTGTGAGAATAAAGTTTTGTTGTACTTTTTAAAATAATAGTAACAAAGGGGATCTACCTACTTTTGTATGAATTGGTTCCAATTGGATATTTGATTTGCTTGTTGTTTCATAAGGGTCAAAAGATTTTGCAGTAACCTTGAAAGCGCTTGGTGGTCTGTAACCAGTTCTTGTTTGTAGTGTGTTCAACAGTGATCTCGTTTTATCTTTAGGTGTAAATGGCCTACATGTTGAAACAGAACGAAGCCAATCTCTTGATTCTTTGACTATTTGGGCAGATGTTGATTTGCCCTCAGGTATTTCATAAAATGCTCTAACTGGATTAGAATTTGTGGTAACTGTGCGGTCTAACAGGTCTGAATTAGATGTACCCTTCCTCAAACTAGGAGTTGCCATCTACAGTTAGAAAAAAAATTGGTTATATGTGAGTATTATTTCTAGGTGAATTAAGAATAGCCTTTCATCAGTGGCTAGTAGTAGAATAAAAGACATTATAATAGGGTATTTGATGAATTTGACTTGAAATTTTGAATTTTAGACAGTCTGATATCATGACATCTTAGTGATAAAGATCATAAGCATAAGGAAATAATATGGTTGGTTTTGAAAATGTGGACAGTTTGATTCGGACACAGAAGCTTGATGTGTTACCATTTCACGCAAGATTGTTCAAATATACGCTGAAGAAGAGCCACGCATTAAGATAAAAAATTTAATTGACTCTTATCTATGAAGGTTCTCTGAATGATGAAAACCACAAAGGCTTTTACGAATTACCTTGTTGTACGAAACATCAAATTCCCTAGTAAAATGCATATGTCAAAAGGTTATTTTGTTGGCAAATAAGTATAAAAATTCCAAATGAGTGGTAATTTTTGAAGAATACTGTTAGAAACCAGAGAACGAACACATCAATCTCTTCCTCATTAAGTGTTCGTTAGCTAATTTATATTAGCCCCCTAGATTTTTGAAAACGAGATAAGACAAATTCACTTCATTTCTTAATTCTTGCAATTCCTGCTCTACTGTAGTTAGTAAGATTATATATTATGTAACTTGCACAATATGATTGAAATAAACTTTTAAGAACATGGTGCAAATGAGTCCATTTAATTTCGGTGATTTCTTATTAGTCGGTGATTAAAAGACCCTAAATTAAACCCAGCCAACTAACACACATACGGAAAGAGACGGATAGTCTACAACCTACACAGTTCCGTTGTGATGAATGACGTTTGTTCAAACCCCGTTCATAATACCGTAAATGAATAAAATGCTACGTGAGAATGAAATTGATGAGAATATCAGCAGAAGCAACCCCGGCACCCAAAAATGCATCACAGTTGATATTAGTGAATATGTTATAAACTTACTTCCTAGTTGTTCAAATCTATCGATTGTTGTACAGTTGCAGTGGAATATAGGGCAACCTAAATTTACTCAATAATTGCTTTATCTACAGGTGGAAGGGAAATCATCGATCAGAAGAAAAACCTCCAACAATACAAACAACGAGAATCTGAAACCAACCATAGAGTTTCTCAATAAAAACTCTAGTAAATCCATATTGAAATCAATCCATTGGATTTGTAACACTTCTGAGTAAACTGGTGATCATAAACACAAAAACGGATAAAAGAGTAGTCCAGAATTTTTGGCTTCATTAGTTCTTCAGATGATGTTGCTTAAGATTAAAGATATTTTAAAACCGTACTCAATTCTAACGAAACCATTTTAGTGGAAAATTATGACCACAAAAATAAGAATAGCTTATATTTAGAATCTGCAGGTGTATTTTTAACGTTTCGAAACCAAATCGGATTGGAGATGAATATAAAATTAAGAAAAAACACAACCCTATTTAGCTAACTCTCTATATATAAGACAGGGAACAAAACACGATTAAAAATGAGTAGGTTGTGAATTTGTGTGAAAATTTACCCAAATAAATATATTTAGTGATCACGAACTTGATTAAAACAATAAATTCAATCCGGTCATCAATAACATTAAACCTTTAAGAAATAGACAGGAACAAGATGGTGCTTTACATCAGTACAAAAGGGAAAAAATAGAGGAAAGAGCAGAGAAGCTGAATTAAATGTATCAATAATATTGAACAACATATATAATTTAGGTTTAAAAACAAATGGAACAGATCATTAGGAAGTAGGCAGTGATACTAAACTAAAGTTACTGCAAAAACTATAAAAATAATGCTACTGTTCGCCAACTTTATTTTCATTTTTCAAAGCATCACACAAAGACCCCAAAAGTGGAAGTTTTCAGTGCAATGATATCTCATGTTCCACTGCAAGCATTGGAATAAATAGTTTTTTTCATATTTAAATAATATTCAATCATTAAGACAGTGAATCGACTGTCTAAACACGCACGAGACTGCGCACTTTCATAGTTTAGAATTGGTCAACAACAATCCCGACCTTAGATTACTCTTATAGTGTTGCCCGCTCTCATTGTCACTATTAATCCATTAGAAAATAGCTATTTTCTTCAAAATTTATCCTCCTGAACACGACTCAACTTCTCATCAATTTTTGAGAGCTTTTTTAAAGCCCTACAGAAGCACTGGCAGCTTATTTAAAATACTTGTTGGGCAACTATGTAAACCAAACTACTGAGTGGTATATTCGCTCTCTGACTGAAAGAACCATTTCCAACATGTAGCTTAAGACTTCAGTGTGTTGATTGAGTTTCAAGAAGTGCAATGATTAGAACCAACAACAATGTAATTGCCAGATACAAAATATGAACTAAGTAATAAGTGAGATTTAGCAACCTTCAGTGGTCTAAGTGTATAAACTTTAGTGACACCGTCAAAGTATAAGGTGTACTTGTTCATATATTATTTATGGATTTCGTAAATGGATTCAACAATCTTTAGAATGATAAAAATTATCATCAACTTCTACAAGAAATTTCACATTAAATGAGCAGTAAATTTGCTCTAGCGGCTTTGGCAAGTGGCTTCTTGTTTATTTTTGCTTTCGCTTCACACAACTAATCTTTCATGAAACTCAATGTGTTTGTTTTAGCTAGTATGGATAAAATTAGATTACATAAACATTTAAGCTATAGAGAAGACAATTGATAGTGATAATAGCTTGAAACTAATAAAATTTTAAACTTTTATTAAACAAAGCAATAATCCGTGGTGTTTCTTATCACCTGAAAGACCGACTGAAGGGAAGTACAATCCGAAGTTCCCTACCTACCTTCAAGTACAAGAGAAATCCTTCAAATACTTACGATTCCAAGTTATTTCTGTCGAGTGGGCATCAGAAAGGTGACCTTAAAACTCCCACATCTTTGCTCTTTTCTCTAATTGTAAAACATGAAGTGACGTTATGTCGATTTAGACCTCAGAAAATCATTTGTTATCGCTCCTCTAAAATCAATCATCATCCAGGCGGCCACAAAAGGATTCAAATATCGCGACTAGATTGACCTAAGGTGGGGCTTCAATTTTCTAATCCAGTGGTCAACGAATGGAGTCTCTTAACCCAAACGGGTTGCATCGATCTTGTCGGTGAACCCTTTCATGGCAAAAAGAGTCTCCACTGTAAAACACTGTAAAAATTAACACATTTCAACTGACCTGTTATACTTGTCATAGAAGAGTGACTGGTTTATAACATTTTGACTAGTTTAAACTACCTTACCAGAAATAAAACGACCATGAGTATTAATGGATACACTTCAGAAAACAGATAACACATGACTTGAACAAAGAAGGCAGGAATGGATGGAACGTCATACTCTGCAATTCATGTTCCATATTTCTGCATGATCATTCGGAGTGGTCACATCTCTGTTGGTAAATATTTTTAAAAGGAAGCCAAGTCACAAGTAGTCACAAAATGCTCACATCATGTTGAGTAACAGAGTGGTTAAAATAAATATTCATTTTTAAATGAACTCGCTGCAGACTATTATTTTTAATCTTATTTCCTCTGAATTTTGTCTGAATTTAATAGCCTTGTGACTCTCATATTCTCCAGCTCCTATCGCTGATCCACATTTTTCAACCAACAGTCAAGAATTTGCATAACCTTATGAAGAGTAGAACCTCGAAAATATGTTTACAGATGCAATTTATTTATGACTGTTGTTGAATTGTAGATAATTGTTTTAATCCCAATAGACTAAACTGCAGAATTCTAGGGCATGAAAAATTAAACAACCCTATATAATGTGTTCATACTGGTTGTAAAACAAAGAACTCATAAGCCTAGAGTTGAAAATATTATATCCCTGTAGTTAATAAAGATTAGACCTTGTGATTCCAATGACGTAAAAAGCAAAACAACTGAGAATGATATGCTATTAGTAGAAAACGATTCAGTAACGTCTGAAAGCACGGTTTAAGTAATCACGTAACAGAGATTAGGACCAAATCTTTTAGATAACCAAAAAGGATTAAAACTTGTCTAGATATAGGTTTAAGAAACAGTTATCAAAATAAATTTTCCAAATCAAATCCCAATAGATCACAAAAACTGGATTTAAAATGAAAATTTCTATACACAACAAATACCTGATATATCAAACACACAATAATTTAAATGTCATTAAATCGAGTCTTTCACCCAAATTGATTAAACTTGAGCAGTGGCGTCTTTCCAGGATTTTAAATATTAATATATTAGACCTTTCAGACAAATCCAATTTTTTTCATCCAAATCTATGATGGTTTGTACTATTTTGACAATTTGTTTACGCAGTAACGCACCAATTCAAAACTCTGTCAAGGTTTTACTTTAAAAAAACAATGATAAGAAAATTGAAATCTTTAGTCCCTATATTATTTCTATGTGAAGAATGAGTGACTTTTTAGTTTTACGTTTGCAGCGTCGTCATGACGAGAAAACGCGAAATTTTAAAATTGGTCATTTCCTGATTTTTATTGTTAGTTTGTTTCTTGACCAACATTCATTCATACGTAAGATTTCACTTCATCACTTTACACCCATTCCTTCTGTTTTTGTGATGCAGAGTTTGGATAAATGGAAGACATATGGATATATTGTTTAGTAGTCGAAGTCTTAACCACGACTATAGTCGTGGCGGAATTGAGTATCTCTACTATACTTATTGAACTCTGCCAAATACATAATGTCGTACCTTGGTACTAAGAAACGACAAAGAGATGCATTAACGGGTATTTTCTATGTTTATTGCCTTTTTCAAAAATTTTCGACTTCACATGTGTCATATATGTGATGAATAGTAGACATTCCGGCTTAATATTTAGGCGAAAAGTAGACAACTGAGTGACCTTTGAAACGCGGAGCTACTTAAAGGGAAACGTTCGCACTATCTCCCCCGGACAGGCGAAAATAAGATATTTTGGCGCGTTTCCCCCTTATTTTTCCCTTATTTTCCAATAGATTTTCTTTTTATTGGTTGTCTAAGTAAATAATGGGTTTGCATGTCTTGTTAACCAACACCATAAATAAAAAGACGAATATGATCAAATATAACGCCAATATATACACATCTTTTTCGCTAGAACTGCCATTTCTATCTGATTCCAATACGATTTGTTCATCGATTGTTTCTGATAATACATCGGGTTTCTAAATTCACTCTTTTTCATTAAGTATGTTTCTGAACGACTGCCTGATCGTAACACAGCTTATGGCCAGATTTAATATTGTATGTTGTTTTGGTATTACGTGTACTAGTTGCAGCTGGAGATTTTAAAAGCCAAGAACAAACAAGATACTTTTGACAGGTTCTCCCACTGAGTGGTTAACTCTCTAGTTGACTCATTCAGTGAAAGAAACTGGAAAGGCTCGATAGAATACGGTAAGCTGACTAGCCCAGACCCTCGGTCATCTGTCTTGAACATAATCATCTACAACTGTGTAGCATGGAAATGTAAATTTTACAACTTCTACATTACAAGATGTATTGAACGGAGACTTGGTGGGGTTAGCTGATTTGTTGTTTAATGTTACAGAGTGCTTTGATAAAATACGAAAACCGTACATTAAATACATCATTTGAAAATCTTCCTTCAGTTGTCTTTTATACGCGTCATGATTCTTTCAACTCTCTCGTTGTTACAATTGCTTCCTTTTCATATTCCTGTTTTCTTCAATTCAATCTTCTGCTCCCAGGCATTCCATTTCTGATTGGCGTTACATAATACCAACATAATTAGTATACGTCACGAAGGTAGGTTGAATCTAGCCAGTCCCTCGTGGCATGATAGCTCAATAGCTTCAAGAATTTGGTTAAGTGCGATTCACTAAGGTTTTTCTTGCAGATCATCTTTTTTCTCACTTTTACTTTATTGTACATACAGTGCATAACATGAAAAACCTTTACTACCATCTCTATCAAATTTCCTTCAACTTGAAGACCAACTACTTTTATAAACGCTATTTTAGAGTTTTAATTGTTTATCTACCATTCTAATAACTTCTAAATCTGTCTTTCTCAGGTAAAGACATTATTACCGGGATCGAAAATCCAGTCATGAGTCACGATTTACGTTTATAAGTTTGGCGTACTCCCAGTTGACATAGAAACGTAATTCGGATTTCTCATGCAGTTTTTAACTAAAATCACCATTAAATTTACATCAGAAAATAGGAAGAGTAGGTCTTTATCCGTTTTTACAGAGTTATGTGCTCATAAGTATCTTAATTATCATGTAAAAATGTATATTATTCTGGATTATCTTATGCTAGCAGTGAATAAAATAATAGTTTAGTCTTTAAATATAAAATTACTTTCTAATCTCCATCACATTCCATTAGCCTCCATTCAGAGCTCAAAAAAATTAGGGACGAAGAAATTATAATTTTTATCATAAAGGATATAGATTTGTTCTCGATTCATCGACTTCTGCAAATTATATCTTCTTTTTATAACAATAATCTTATTCATTTTCATATTCCTATTCTACTTTTGTTGTATGACTGCTCCACATTCTTCTATGTTTTTTGCTATATGTACTTGCTCAACTTGGGTCTCTAGGTTGAAATAGTTAAACAAAAAATTGTTAAGAATTCCAAGTTTTCATGGATAGTCGTGAAAAACACTGTTCTAAGCTTATATGATGTTTTGGTGAATAAAGTGTTAAAAGCGATGTAGAATAAGTGTTACAACGTAAAACTGTGGCTGAAATATAAAGAAATTTCAATTATATTTAAATACAATGTTCGAATCACATATTGTGTAAAATTTGTATGTCGTAAAACCACTTTCCTTTTGATGCGCTACATTTTAAAACAGTATAGTTTTAGGGTTATAATGATTACATAAACTGTCTTTATTTTTTACAGCAAATCATCACAATCATCATTATTGAGATTTGAAGTCATTCAATCAGTACTTTGAAATAAACATTCATTATGAAAAGAAATAGTGATGCATCGACAGAATTAAATCTGGAGAATTTAAAAGAATTAGCATCAACTTATGCGGATTGCTTACAAAACAAACCAACACCAGCATCAAGTTTTATAAGCAAAATCATGAAAATGGAATATGAATTAGATAAAAAGTTAGCTTGCTATGCTTATCTGTCAACTATTTTGTGATTAACAGTCTTGTTTGTTTCTACTGCTTTATACCGTAAACTCGAAAATTGCATGAATAATTGTTTTTAGACTATGCACCATTATCTACCGATATGAGACAGAAAAAATGAGGCCTGAGATGAATTCGTTAGTTTTTATTGATTACACATTATTAAACACAGCAAATGTTACAGGTACAACCAATCGGTCTTATCTGGTGGCTGCATCTGATACTTATCATCAGCGATCGGTATTACAGTTTCCTTTTTGTATTCGAATAATGACGAGTTTAATGGCGTTAGGGAATTTGATAAAAGGATTTTCTCTTATCTTTAAATACTATCTAAGTGTGTTTTGGAGTTGGACTTCATTTTAATTACTTCATCCGTATTGAAAACTTCCTGTTTGGGTAATAAAACTTTCATCACTCTAATCAGTCATAGTTCTGTATTCCTTGTTATCTCCCATACTTTCAGCCCGCTTTGTCTTGTACCTAAACTCGTTGCAAGCATTATCACAATGAGAAAATTATTGAAGAAGGATATATGAAGCATATTAACGTTTGTTAAATACTTAAGGTAGTTTATTGACATAGAAGTGAGAAGAGGGACAAATAGCTAGAAAATGGAGACATGCAAAATCAATTGAAGACTAAGTAATGTGGAGTTTTTGGGTTTATTTCGAAGTAGTTGGACTTATGAAATATAAAATGGGATCTTTATCTTCATGTACTCAATGAATAATATAAAGCTTTTACCTGAGAATTTTACCGTTCAGAATAAGCATTCATATTTTATATTCCGATCTAGACGGTAGTTCTTGGTATATAGCATTCTGTTCTCGTTTGACTTATCTTCTTACTTACCTAGGCCTGTTAGCCCTCTTAAGACGTCATATTTGTTTTATTTACCGACCTATTTAGGTCTGTTACTCTTCTTACTGTGTAGATCACTAATCAGGGATCTAAAAACAACTCGTTCTTCTCCTTCTCTTCTCACTTGTTACGAAGTGCTACTCAGGGTATCGTTGTCTTTGATCTGACTCCTTTTATTTCGCCTTGAATACTCCAGATTAAGACTTGCCTTGTGATGCGGTTTGATGGTTTCCGCAAAATATATCCTATTCACCTCTAGATCCTTTTCCTAATTTCCTCCTCACCTAACAGATGGCTATTTCTCTGTTTGACTAGATTATCGCTGACAATATCTGGACAATGGATCTGGAGTGTTTTATGAAGTCATCTATTTTCAAATACCTAAACATTTTTGGCAATGGTTATGGTAGCTCTTTAGGTTTCGGCTCCGCACCGCAGGACTGTTTTGATGTTATTGTTGGAAGTTTCCACTTTGGCCTTGAGTGACAGTTCTTTTAATTTCAAAATGTTTTCTAGTCGTAGGAAAGATGCACTTTCCTTTCGATTTTGTGCCTTTAAATCTCCACCAGATTCTCCTTAGTTATCAGCGATGCTACCCAGGAACGTGGAAAGTTCAACCTCTTCCAGGGCCTCGGCACCAAGTCTGATTTCGTTGGTGCTCACTACATTGTGCTTCATAATGTTGCTTTTACCCTTGCAAATAATGAGGCGTACTTCTGTTAAAGCTGCTGCTATATTGGGTATCTTTGTCTGCATTGGTTGGTGTTTATGAGATAACAGAGTCGGTCATCTACAAGGTCTAGATAATCCAGCTGTACCTAAGGTATCCACCTTGTTTCATTCTTTCTGTGAGCTGTGGAGGTCTTTATAATCCAGTCAAACGTAGACCACCTAGTCTGACAATAGCCTTCATTTGTAATGCACCCGTGAACTAGTCTCCGTGTACGACCTTGTAATGCGACCACTCTCATGAGTTCGGTATGATGGTCACGATCTGCTCAGGTACTCCATAGTGTTGAAAACTGCTAAATTTTCTCACAACATATAACAAATGCTTTCTAATAATCAAAGAAGTTGAGATTTAAAAATATATTTCATTCATTTGGTTGTTCAACAATAATCGGTGATATGGTGATTTGGTGATACATCATCTATCCTCACGAACCCCAGCTTGTTGATATCAAATTTGGGCACCTACTAAATTTTTCATTCTGTTAAGTAATATTCCGTTGAAAAATTTACTTGGCACTGAAAGAAGTGTAGTGCCTCTATAGTTTTCACACTCACTCAAATCTCTTTTCATCTGTATCTTGGTGAGGTAACTGTCAC